CTCTCTCTCTCTCTCTCTCTGTTTCTTTCTCTCTCTGTCTCTCTCTTCCTCTCTTTCTCTCTTTCTTTTTTATTCCATTCTTTTTTTTTCTAATCCCATTGCTCCCTTACTTTCTGTCTGTCTTCTTTGTTTCTATCCAGTCCCCTTGTACATGACGTGTTTGTGTGAATTTCCGCATACGTTGTTGGTGTTTAAGTTTATATGTATGTAACAACATATTGCCACTCGGTGTACGTTCTAAAGTTAGACATATGAAACTGTTTTTAAGTGTAACGATGTTGCACAAAATTTAAACGAAAAAAATTAACGAAAACAACAAATGCACTTGACAAGTAACTAACATTGATAGAATGATAACATTTACAATACCTATTGGGATTACCACTTTTTAATTTTTTAAAGTTTGCTTTTCCAATGCTTTGAAAACAAGATATTCTCTCTTTCTTTCCCTTTTCTCCATCTCCCTCTCTTCTACTCTTTCGCTCTTTTTTCACCTTGTCTTACTCCTTACTTTATTTCTCTATCTTCTACATACTCTTTTTCTCTCTCTTTCTCTCTCTCTCTCTCTCTCTCTCTCTCTCTCTCTCTCTCTCTCTCTCTCTCTTTCTCTCCTTTTAACTTCCCTTCTCTCTTGCTCTAGCTCCCCCCTCTCTCTCTCTCTCTCTGCTTCTCTCCCTCTGTTTCTCTCTCTCTCTCTCTCTCTCTCTCTCTCTCTCTCTCTCTCTCTCTCTCTCTCTCTCTCTGTCTGTGTGTCACTCTCTCTTTCTGTCTCTATCTGTTTCTCCCTATTTCTCTCAATATCTACATTTATTTTACGTACGGCAGTTTTCCACTTCTTCCCTTAAGTTTTACACTATAATGACACCGAGAGAGACGACTGCCTGACTTCTAAGACGACAGGGGGCGGTTTCGATGGTATAATATGTATATTTATGTATTTATTCTGTGCGTGTGTAAATATATATTCATAAAAGATATATTCATACTTTACACACATCCACACGCACGCACATTCGCAAACAAACCGGCACACACACGAACACACACACACACACACACACACACACACACACACACACACACACACACATATATATACATACACACACACGCACACACACGCACAAACACACACACACACATCCATTGCTCTATCTATCTCAGCCGTCTCTGTTCCTCCCATCTTCCAATATTCCATTATCCCACGTCTTTTACCTCTTCTCAAAACAGCATAACATTTTCCCCCACTTTTTTTAGCTTGTCTCTGCTGTCAAAAAGATGATATCGATATCTGGTGGAAATCATTATTTACCTAAGCCTTTTTCTCTGTAATTCGATTTGTCTGACTAGTTCATTACTTCTGTGAATGTTTAGTGCTTTCAAAATCCTATAATTTTGGGATGCTCAAGTTCCAGTTGTTGTCTTTAAGATCACAAGGTGCCGATACTGGTGTTGATCCTTTTTTCATTTTCAGACAGACCTTGGAGATACCATCGTTTTCTATTTACACAATGTTTTCTCGCATACTTTCCTAATTTTACTCCCTTTCACTGTGATGATCTTCTCTCTTTGTTGCCCCTTCTTTTAGCTCTCAACTCATCCTCCTATAATTATTCTTTTCTATAGCTCTCCCTTCATCCCCCTCTCTCATTCCCACTTGTTTTTTCTGTCGGTCTGTTTGTCTGCCTACCCCCCCCCTTTCTCTTTCTCTCTCTCTCTCTCTCTCTCTCTCTCTCTCTCTCTCTCTCTCTCTCTCTCTCTCTCTCTCTCTCTCTCTCTCTCTCTCTTTAGTACGTATACCAAATTCTGTACTCACCCTCTGAAACACAATGGGCAGAGCCAGCACGAGAGAAACTCCCCATAGAATGCATGTGGCTCGCCAGGCCCGTCCCACTGTACACGTAGATTTGGCGCGTATAGGGTGGCGGATAGCGTAGTACCTGGGGAAAACGAGGAGGTTTATTTGTTTGGTTCTTTGGGAAAGAACGGGCAACGAGAACAGAATTAATTGTCTGGTGACTCATTGGAGCAGAGGAAGATAGGACTAGTGCTAACATTACTTAAACGCAATCCCTCATCATCACTCATCACCACTATTAATTCTAAAATCATCACCTCTCTCAGATCAATGACTTACATCTATAATCCTGGAATCTCTATCCGCTATTACAGTTAATTGATATACTAAGTATGCATGTAATACACTATTGGACACAATCATATGCACTTTTTTCTACTAATCAAATGGCGTCAATCTCATATAAATGGGCAGGGGGGAAAAATTGTTTGGGTATCGTGATGAAATCAGGTGTTTGTCAAATGCATAAAATAAAAGAAATCACCATTTTCCGCCTCTTGGGCAACTTTTATTAATGGGGGTTTTCGAGGTGGGGGAGGGGTCGTGTTTCAACGCAACACATGTTATGCTATATTTTAAAAATACAATAGTATGTGAGGCAGCTTGGTGGAATCAGGCTCTCGTCAATTTTGGGGCATTTAGAGTTATTGGTATCATCATAAAGCTTGTTCACTTGCCTTTATTTTGATGAATAAAATATCCATTTATCTTGAATACAAGTCAAGATATTTGCGAATGGGGGTAATCTGTTTTCAGAGGTAAAATTAGTGAGAAAATGGCCGCCTACGATTAGTTATTTCCTTAGCTTAAGAGTCCGTGGTAACTGAAAATTTACTATTTTTTTAGCCTTTTATCAACGTTTTTAAGAAAAATACACACAGAAATGAGTTCTTTAATGGGCATGAAAGGTGATGAGCAAAAAACAAAAATTTGATAAAAATTCACAAACCTGCGGAAAAATGCACGTTTCTTCACTTTGATTATTTTGACGAGAGCCTGATTTCACCACGCTGCCTCACATTTTGTTTGGTTCTTTGGGAAAGGACAGGCAACGAGCACAGAATTAATTGTTTGGAATTGTGATGAAATCAGGTGTTTGTCCAATCCATAAAATAAAAGAAATCACCATTTTTCCCCGTCTTGGTCAACTTTTATAAATGGGGGTTTTCGAGGTTGGGGGAGGGGTAGGGTTTCAACGCAACACATTTTATGCTATATTTTAGAAATACAATAATATTATGTATTTATCCCCCCCCCCCCC